CGCAGAGACTACGTTCCGGAATGCAATCTACATTTGAATGCAGTGTTTGCAAGCGACATTAGTGACTTTTGGAAGTTGCGTTATGCAGCTTTTGGAAGTTACGTTAGACAGTAGGTGGAAGCCGTGTTGGTAGCTTTCGAAAGTTGCGTTGGACAGCGGATGGAAGCTACATTAGCAGTTTTTGGAAGCTGCGTTGAGCAGCAGAATGAAGCTGCGTTGGATAGCGGATAGAAGCTGCGTTAGCAGTTTTTGGAAGCTGGTTGAGCAGCAGAATGAAGCTGGGCGTTGGTAGCTTTTGGAAGCTGCGTTGGCAATATTTAGGAACTGTATTTGCAGCTGGATTAAAGATGCGTTCGCATTGCTTTAACTCTGGAATAAGGCCACTTGTGTTTTCATTTCTAGGACGCAGAGATGAGCTCTGTATCTTGGACTGAAAAGATAGTTGCCTTGTAATCTCTTTCGTCAGAGCATTACAAAGATTATCATTTTGTAATCTTTCCTTTAGCTCCTTAAAATGTGAGAGTCGTCAGATCGTAACTCTCGCTGTTGATCGTGAAAGTCTTCTGATTGTAACTTTCATTGTCGAGTTGTTAATGTGAAAGTCATTAGGTTGTAACTTTTACCATTGGAGTTTGATGGGGATCAACTATCTGTAATGATTTTTAGATAGCCTACAGAACCCCCTCCAAAGTTTCGAAAGTTCGCGGTTGACTGGAACGAACTTTCAGAATACTTTGGATCCCTAAATTGGTTTGAGATCTGTTGTTGAATGATAGTTCACTATATTTCTTTTGAAGACATCATGAACTTGGTTGTGGAAATTTACCATATGTCGCAGTTCTGCTTCCTGTATTTAGCAACTTCTCTGCTAACTTCTTTGAGATCTCCTTTGGTAAAGATTAAACTCATACTCCCAACGAACGCGTAGAAGTAGTTAAGGTAGTTCTTATCTCCTTAAACCAAACGAGATAACTTTTGTAGAAGTAGTTAAGGTAGTTCTTATCTCCTTAAACCAAACGAGATAACTTTTGTATCTTGATGACAATGAACTTAGTCAAACAAGCTAAAGCCCAAGTCATCATCGTTAGATTCATTAGTAGGATCGACTTTTTCCTTTTATTTGCAGCAGAATAAAACAGTCTCAGCCGATGCAATAGGACCGATAGAAATAACGAATTTGCTTGGGTCTTTGAGATACTCCTTCAACTTGTATGAAGGTGTATTCAGTGTCGACAGCAACAGTAAAAAAGTTTTTATAGGCATCGATGAACATGTGAGGCGCAGCTGCAAGAGTTGGGTAAGAGAAAGCCAAGGACATCAAAACATCCATAAAAACACCAGTTGCAAACTTGTCAATGAGGTCATCCTCAATGAGGTTGAGCACCTCTTGGTTGAAGACAGATTCATTGTCATAGATAGAGAGAACCACAAGCCCGTATGAGGATGACCTTATCACAAGTTTGGCAAGGAGGGCAACCTTAGAGGACCCCACTTTGTCTCCTTTCTTGGTCAGCTCAACTGGGATAATAATTTCAACAATATCCTTGTTAATTTTGGTTGGAATGTTAAACCATTTGAAAGGAGGAGTTGCACGAGGGATCGAACTCGATAGTATCAGCGATATCAATTATAACCTGTCTGTACTCAACCAAGAGGCTGCATAGCTTCTTGTTGTAAATTAGTTTATTCTCGACTTTCGTCATCTTAATGGTCATTGCTAACTTCTCTCCAAGTACCTGAAGATGTATAATAGCCCTATTGGTTATGGCGAATCAACGCGTAAGTGGAACCTGCGTTCTTAAAATTGAAACGCTGTAGAAAACCCTGTATTTTTGGAGTTGAAATGCAGAAGGAAGCTCTACGTTTTTTTATTCTGAGACGCATCAACAAGCGTCTGAGAGTTTAACCGACTCAGTGTGAACGCGTTGATTGCGTTTGGGCGGGATATTCTCCTCAAATCTCGTCCTGATTTGAGAGCTCAGCGCTGTCTATAAATAGACCGTCAGGGTCAAATCAAAAGTCATTCGACTTTTCGCAATTGTTCATCTTCTCCAGCGAACCCAGCGAAGATTTTCGTTTTAATCTCTAGCGATTCATGTTCATCTTCTTCAACAAGATTAAAATAGCTCCCAAAAAGAGAACCGCTTCCAAATCAAAAATCACCCTTTCTCAGGGTGCACCGTCGGCGAAGGCCGCTGGTGATGCTCAAGCGACCGCGCCGTCGCCGCAGGTTCCCTCAGTCAATGGTAAGTTTGGGCGATTATAACTTGTTTCGACACGTTTTATACTATCAATACTGAGTGAAAACTCACGTTCCGCTATTAAAACATAGAGGTTGTCTTTAGTGTTTCTCGATTTAGAACGCGGGTCTACATCCTGCGTTTGGAATCTAGAACACGGGTTGGGAACCTGCATTTTGAATTTTAGAACATAGGCCTGGACCATGCGTTTGGAATTTAGAACGCAGGTTTGGACCCTGTGTTTTGAATTTTGAACGCGAGTTTGGACCCTGCGTTTTGAATTAAGTCTTTTTCAGACTTATCGTTAGTTTTGCACTAGCTGTTTGTCTCTTCCATTTGCAGTGCACTATTCCAGTGACCATCTTTCCTTCAACCATTACTTTAGTCATGTAGGAGGTGCAGAGAAAAATACACTCTTCAGTTTCCATTTAGAATATCCTATATTCCAGGATACTAACAAAGAAAGGGCCAAACTTATCACCCAAGCCTCCCCTGAAACTCTCAGGTCACTGGTTACAGATGCAAAGTTTGAGACAGCCGAGCGTAAAGTTTTAAAGAAACCAACCTTCCTTTTCGGAGATTCTGTTGATGTGGACCCTAAGCGGATGTTTGACGGGAATTACAAGTGGCTACGGACTGTCAATGATCGTTGCCTTTTCTGCCAAATCTGGAGCGGATGTGGTCAATCTCTTATTCTCAGTGTGCTTTCATTCCGCGATCTATGGATTGTGAACTTGTCCAGGGACAAGGTGGCGTTGCTTCTGGACATCTTACTCATCATGATGTTCAACCAGCTGGCTTTAATTACTTTTGACTTTGAAGCCTTGTTTAGTTAAGAAGGAGCATCCTGTCGGTGAGCCTGCTAAACTGGTGAATACGTTCGTCAGAAAATTATCTCTGTGCAGGGAGAATTCCCCGCTCAAGACTTTAGAGCTCCGACATGGGCACATTCTAGCGAGGTAGAATGGTGTGCCCGGATGGTAAATTTTGTTCTGGAAGAGTTGGAAGAGCCCCTTAGAATTTCTGAGTTAAGAACCCCGATATTGGCTACTCGATACGGGATTTCTCCAAATTATAGTGGCCTTTTCGCTATGCTGGAATTCTACAATTCTCATACCGGCACATTTCTCACTCCTGTTGGTGAATTGAGTTTTGCACTCCACAAGATGTTTGAGGTCTCAGGGCTATCCTTTGGAGAATTTCCCTACGAAGAGTTTGTTCCTGGGAGTAAAGAATTGAAGATTTTTAAAAATGGCGCTTCGTCCATTTATGACATTTATTGGGAGTTAATGTGCTATTTCTAAATATGTGCACAGACTACCGGTAAGCGAGCAAGTGGTGTCAAACGAGGACAATGGGCTGAGTATCTCTTTCAAAACTTGTATGATAAAGATACAAAAGTAACTTGCTTGGCCGCCAGCACACCAGAAGAAATCCACGAACGTATCAATGATGTAACCTCCCACTACACTTGTGAGGCAGAGGAAGATGTTTTCCCGGCATACACCATGTTTGAAAGTTTCCATTATCAGGCTGAAATCCCAATTTCCGACATGGCATGGCTTGCTGGTTTTCTCACACTCTGGTTGAAACGTTGTGTAGTACCAACTATGCCTATTGATGCTATTACAGTGGAAATATTATATCCCACTGTTCTTCTAGCTTATGGGAGAACTCTGAACCTCATGTCGGCCATGGTGTGCTATCTGTAGAGTAGCCTTCGGAGCTAGCCTCTGAATTTATTACGGTTAAGAGGTTGGAATCAGATGGAAAGACTATTATCCAGACTCCTACCCTTCGGGTGCCGATACCATTTATTTACTTGGTATCTTGGTTCGTGTTGCACTGTCCTTCCCTGATGTCGACTCATGCATCGAATAATACTTCAGCCCCTATCGTCCAGCTATTAGAGGCTGCTCGATGGGTTGGTTGGTACCAAGTTCAGTTCTGGGAGATATTGAGGCGGGACTATAACTATGTGATAGCTTGTAGCTTTCCCACTTTTGAAGGTGGTGCCTATGGAGAAATGCATCAGGATACTCCAGGGCGTAATTCTTTTACCACTCTTAGCAGAGGCACTTTTTGGTGGCTTATAAACATCCGTCCGGGCTACCTTGTCTTTCGGCAAGGGAAGAAGTGCTTTATTGAATGATATCAGCCTTATCGCTTCTCCCGACAATTCGGCTATGACCAAATTTATGTTGGAAACCTTAATCCGACACTTGCATATACATGCAATGTATACGAAGGGGCAAGGGCTTGGTATTACTCAGTGGCAGGCTGCACAGGGATAACATTTAAATTGCCGAACAAAGTACCCAACGCCCATACTTCTTTGAGCTTCTGTACTTGGTATCAGGCTGCTTCATAAACCCCAGAGTACAAAATTTATACCTCTTGCTTGAAAGCTATTCGAAAATGGTATGATGGAAAGAGGAGTTCCAAAAAGTCTTGCACCAGGGGAGTTAGTGAGTACTTATCATATGAGGAAGTAATTGCTGAGGAAGAAAAGCAACAGGCACAAGAAGGAGTTTAAGAAGAAGAACATGGGGGGTACCTGAAGCTCACGAGGTGGAACCTTCCAGGGTAGAAACTCGTAGCAAGAAGACTAAGGGTAAAAGAGCCCTTAATCTAACTAAAGAGGGTGAGTATGAGAAGTGAGCTCGTCGCAAGTGAACACTCGAGGCCCCCGCTTTCAAACTTATGCAAGATGCCCGCAAAGCATGACATGCGGAGGAAGAAGAACGAGAGTCGACCGCTATGGAGCTCTCGCATCAGTCTAGGCTTCCTTTAGTTGGCCCAGCTTTAGGAGGTCCCGCCTCTTTTATTCATCTACCGGATGAAGAAGAAGGTGGGGATGAATCGCTTGTAGGGGATGCAGAATTTGTCCCTGCAACAGACCATGCTGCTCCAGTTGAAGAGCGTAGGCCTCCTACAGGTGAACCTATGGTGACCGAGTCTGGAAGACTCAGCGGAAGTCCATCTCCCTCTGTTTCAGCATTAATGCCATCGATGGGGGACACAAGACTCAGTCCTACCATGAGAATCTTATCCAACCCAACTACCACTATGGACTCACCTGAGCATTCAACATCAGGTGATGAGGAGAACGTGGATTATGAGAGTTCTCCGGATGGTGATGAGGTTGGAGATGATGCAGGAGATGATAGCATCGACGGTGACACTGACGATGACATCAGTGAAGAGGACTCTCTAGTTGAATGCGCTGATTTTAATGATACGCTAAGGGCTACTTCAGACAAAGCATCCACATATATCTCTATCTCTTCCCCAGGTAAGTATGGTTTATTTTAGACTTCACTGGAAATTATCTTTTGTATTCTAATAATATATGTTATTATTATAGTTTTTATGTAGGGCCGCCAGCTCCCATGACTAAGGAGGCCACAATCGTAACTTCGCCACCAAAACAGTTGACACCTACACCAACAACTACTCCTCCGGCGTAGCCATCTCCTGCACCAGTGATGACGACTTCTCCGCTTCTATTGACAATTTCTCTCACTCCGATGCGGATTGTAAGTGCCCCGAGTTCGTCTCAAAAAGCGGAACTTATGGCTCTTACATCGAGTCCTTTGTAGTTGGACATCAACATTCAGTCACCGACTGCCACACCAAAATCGCCCTCTCACTTTCTACTTAGCTCTACGACTTTAAGGACCTTGGTGCTACCTCCTATTGCTTCTTTAAGCCCAGTAGATGCTCCCAATCTGCTCGAAATCTCTCTTGGCCATTTACGAGGTATAATGAAAAAGGTGGTTGAGATCATCACTGCCGGTCGGAGCACCTTTGAGTCTTACATGCCTCTTCTAATACATAGTCTGAATGACATCAAATACTTGCGTGACATTCAATGTATTGAACGTTGCTTAGAGGTCGTCACTCGCCTAGAGGAGAAATTAAAATCTTTAGAAGATCTGGGACGTGTGGATATCAAAGCTCAAATTACATTGACTTTCGCTGGTATCTGGACTGAAGAGGCGAAACAGTACGAAATAATTTAACGTGGCTTAGCTGAAAAAGAACTCCGAGTCGTAGATTTGCAGAAGCAAAGCGTTCAAAACCAAGAGGAGCTGAATATTTCAACGACTACTTTAGAGGCTGCTCGCTCAAAGATCAGGCAAATTGAAGAGGCCATTGTTCGCTTACAATCAGAATTGGTCTGGCGGAAGGCTGAATTTGATTGAGATGAAGCTATCACGACTACACTCAGCGTCCAAGCTATAGAAACTCTTATGACTTATCATAAAGAAGTACGGGCTCTTGAAGAGGCTAAGAAAGAAGTTGCTGCTACGGTGCCCAAGGAAGATGAGCTCGGGAGAAGAGCTGAAGAGATGGTGTGGACTGCCTAGGAGGAGAAGCTTTTCGATATCAAGTATCGGCTCACATCTATTCACTCGATGGAGCTTTGAACTTTAATTTTATTTTATCGTTCTTCTGACAAGAACAATACTATATTGTATCACTTCCTTTCGATTCTGAATAAAAGTGATACTATTTTAGTTTTTCACTGTTTCTTTTATGTGTCATGTTCTGACTTGAAACAATAAAAAATATAATTGAAAGTGCAAGAGATGCGATTGTAACTTAGCACAATTTTCCACATAAAGCTAAATTTAACACTTTTCTTTATTATCATTTAAGATAATTCTAGAAAATTTCAATCTACTGGGGATATTTATTGGCTCTCGGACTTGATATTCTGTTTGAGAATCATCAAACCCTTGGAGTGGTGTTGAATGATTATCATTCTCCTGAAAAGAATTAACAAGCTCGTTCCTTCTTGTGTTGCATTTTCACTTGAAACACTGATAGAAACTTATAAGCGCCAGAGGTATAAAATTAACGTGATGAGAATTTTATTTTCTTTATCACCACTTGGGGTAATTCTAGAAAAGCTTAATCTATTGGGAATTTTATGAACACTTGTTACTCATATGCAAGAGAATAACAAGTTAAAAAGGGTTTTAACTGTTAGAGGTATAATGTTAACATAACAACGATTTGTGGGCTTATCATTCTATTAAAGAATACTGATAAGTGATTTTGATTGTCAGAGGTGTAATGTTAACATGACATAAAAATATTATGATCGAGGTAACTTTGAGGACCTACCGCTCTATTAGAGAGAGTCCATAAGTTGATTGTCAGAAGTGTGATATTAACGTGACATAAAAATGTTACGATCGAGGTAACTTTGATGACCTATCATTCTATTGGAAAGAGTCAATAAGTTGATTGTCAAAGGTGTGATATTTACGTGACATGAAAATGTTCATGTGATTTGAATAAGATTTTGGGGGCTTAGCGTCTCGCTGGGGAGAATTGCTAACCGAGTTTATCATCGAAAACGATAAGTTTTGGTGGTTGTGACTTGAACAATATTTGGGAATTTTATCACTCTATTGAAGAGAGCTAATAAATTGATTATTTATTACTCTGCTAAAGAGAGTTAATAAATTGATTATAATTTGAGCAATTTTGGGGACTTATCGTTCTATTGATGAGAATCGATAAGTTAATTTTAACAGAGGAATTATTGTCACGTTAGAGGGCGATGCAAACTGAATTCAAGCTCTTTGGGGATAAAAGTTGTTGTCAGTGTAATGTTAACTTGACGACGGTGGGGAATTTTGCCAGCCGAACTAGCTAAAACTTCGCTGAGGATGTACAGAGGTTTCAACAGCTCTCTGTTAACAGTTTCATGTTGGAAAACGCAAGGGTTGACCCTACGTTTAGGAGAATTATAACGCAAAGGCAGTCTCTGCGTTTGGAGTTTGAAACGCAAGGATAAGCTCTGCGTTGAATCCTAGCAACGCGGGTCTTGGCCCAGCGTTCGGAATTTGAATGCGACTTTAAAATCATTACGTTCTAGTCTCATTTTTCATTTTTTAAATGCAGGGTCTAATCACGTGTCTTATCAGAAGTCTAAACGACTTATCTAATAACACTGAGACCGCGTTCAGGTAGGAGTTTCAGAACTACGTGCCATCAACAGTATGGAGGTTTGTTATAAATAGACCTTTATTGGTCATATTAAGGGTCATTAACCACCCATACCACCGCTTTAACTCTTTGAACGAGTTCTTCTCGTTAATTCTAGAATCTCTAGACTATTTTCGTCTATCCTTAACTGCCAGTGGCCATGGCTTCGATGAGAAGAAGTCCTCGCCTGCAAGGGATCGCGGAAGCGGCTCCTGTTTTGCCGTCAATCAACAACATAAGGGGTGTTTCCGATTCCATGTCAGCATCACTTTCGACGCCGTCATCGCGAGTGTTTGTTCATCGAGGTACGTAAACATCACTGTTTACTCATTTTTGACCAGTTTGTTCAAAACCCTAAGTGGATTCTTGGTTGACGATGACGAGGAAGACTTGTTTTCTTCCGATTGAAACGCAGGGTTGAGACTCTGTGTTAATTATAAAACACAGTGTAACTTTTGCGTTTTGAAATCTGAACGCGGGTTTTGATCCCTACGTTGTATTAGAAGTCTAAAAGACTTATCTTATAACGCGGAGAGTGCTTTTAAGTTCAAAAGTCTAAACGACTATTATGATAACGAGGAGACCCCGTTTGGGCGGTTATTTCAGAACTCTATGCCACCTATAGCATGGTGATCGTATATAAATAGACCTGATCGGTCTTACTAAGAGCGTTTAACGTCCATAATTTTGCCTTAAATCCTTGAACGAGTTTCTCTCATTAATTCCAAAATTTCTTCAACACTTTTTTACGTCCTCACTCGTTAGCGACAATGGCTTCAGGAAGTTCTCGCTCGAGGGAGAACGTGGAGGCAACCCACATTGTGCTATCGTCGGGGGACGTTCCTCGGATCCAACCCATCTCCATGATCTTCCCCAACAAAGATTATGAGAAGGATATTCTCGAGTCCTATCATTTGAGCCCTGATTGTACTCTTTTCCTGCTCTCACGTTTGGAAAATATGGTGAAACAAGCTTTCTCCATCGTGGAGAATGGTTGGGGTTCTTTCTCTGAGTTTCACGGTCTTATCGAGGAAGGCTTACATGCTCTCGCTTGCGTTAACCTTCATCGTGGTCTGCGTTACGCGGAGAAAATCCATCGTTATATGGGTGCTGTTCGCTTTTTGGAAGAACTAAAGCGCAGAAACTTAAGGCCTAAGATACAGCAGGCCATAGGTGTCGCCTAGATGAAGAAGAAGATTGGTGAAAAAGCTTGAGGCCGTAGCATATTGGAGAAGAAGGCCTTAATCTTGAGCCTGCAGAAGCAACACCGTCACATAGGGGCCAGGCTTGTTGCAGGGGAGCTAACCCCAGAAGAGTTTGACCTCGAGGATGACACCCTCTATGCTAATGTTCAGGCAAAGAAGGAGGCTCTCCAAGTGTTATAACAGGAAGCCACTGCTACTGCTACGCTCACTGATGATCAACTTCGAAAGAAAGTCGAAGAAGAAGTGCTGGCGGAGCATGCGAAAAGCATATCTGAAACTGAAACTCATCTTTCAAGCTTCTCTTTATTTTAAGCTCTAGCAGCACTTATTTTTTTGGTTTTGCAATAATTTTACATTATTCCTCAAAACATTTACTATTTGCCTATAATGAACTGGTGTTATTTACTGCTTCTTATTATTTCTTCTTTGCTGTGTTCGGACTCTTGAGATGTCATAGTCATCATATTGAATTAGAAATTCTCTTGACTATTGTTTAGAATAATCTCAGAAAATTTCTATGGCAAGGTTTGACCTTTGCGTTTGCGGGTCTAACTCCTTGTTCAGAATTTAGAAACGCAAGGTTTAGCTCTGCTTTTGAAAGACTAATGAAACGTAGTTACGATACCTATGCTCAGGAAGGCTAACAGCCTTATCCTTTAACGCTGGGAATGTGTTCCAAATCGTTGGGACTCTATCCTAGAATCCCGCGCCTCTTTAACAACTTGATTGCTGTTATAAACAAACCCCTTGGGGTTATCTCTTTGAACGAGAGTTTTTTCTTCTTTTTTTAAAAAATTTCAACGATCTTTATTCATAATGGCTTCAAGAGGAACAAGCTCTCGCCTGAACCAGGCTGAATCGACCTCTTCAACTCCGTCGATAACGAAAGCGGGCAGTGCTCTTGACACCATAGTTGTGCCGTTGCCATCGCCATATGGATCCGCTTACTCTGGTAAGCAATGACTCACATAACTTGTCTCGACAAATTTCTTTAACCCTGGATGGGTTCTTCGTCAAGGATGATAATGAAGATGGTTCGTCTTCTTTTGAATGAAACACAGGAATATAACTCTCGTTGTTTATGAAACGCATAGTTGATCTCTGCATTTTTGAATAAAAACACAGGTTTCAACTTTTGCATTTAATATTTGTAACACATGTCTTGCCTTCTGTGTTTCAGATTGATAACGCATTTCTTGACCCATGCGTTTCAAATTGAGAACGCCAGTTCTGACCTTTGCGTTTCAGATCAGTCCATT